ACTTGGTGCTTGGCTCAGGGGTGTGACATAGTGGTGTGTGAAATTCATGGGTCACTTGACTATACTGTTTAGTACCAGAGTTTTCCAATTCTTTCTTTGTTTCTTCTGCCTTTCCTTTCTCACTCTCTGGGGGTCGGCCTCTCTCTCTCAGTCAGCAGACTGAAGTTGAGACTTCAGTAATAGCACTCTCTCTCATTTGCATTCTGATTGCTCTTTTAAGTGGAAGAAAAGAGGGGTGAAATTATAGCTAGTCAGGCAGGAATTATGTTAACTGGCACATGGGACTGTAGCCCACATATGAACACCATTTGTCATATATGACAGAGTAGAAAGAAAAGAGGGAGAATCACTGGCCTGTATGACATGTCATGTGAAAGAGCTTTCATCCACGTGCTAAAAAAGAAATTCTAAATAAACTTGCTCTACATAAGCTTCTTCGTTTAGTGGGCTTCTTTAACCAAAAAATATAACAATAAGCAACAATATAATGCCCTTTGAAAGGGGTATACTGTGTAAGGCACATTCATTGAGTGTCAAAGTTTTACATTTTCGCAAATTGGTATTTGTCGTTCTGTAATTGCATCCCCAAGCAACATGTGAGTGTTGATGTCTCTTTGTTTTGTTTTGTTGTTATACCTAATGAGTTCAAAGAACATCTCCCATACTAAAGAATATTCCTAGTAACTACAAAATTGATACACTCTTCTCTGCTGGTGACATAGTTAACACAGGTATCAAAAAAAGTATATTTTGTTGAAGTGTCATTATTAGGAAGCACAAATATATTAAGCTTATGAGTGGCAGATGATTTGCATTAAAAGGCTTTTTTGGATAACCAGTCCAATTTCCTGAGGGTGGGATAACATTACTTAAGATTATTATTATTATCAACAAAGGCAAAAGTGCATTCACAGTCCTGGGTTCAAGCCTACACTCGAGTTTCACAATGCCTGCCTTTCCTTTGTGTCTTTCTGGGAATCCACGGTGACATTGATGAGTGAGTGTTTGTCAGGTGGGGGGGGGTGGCCACACTTCAGTGGTAGTCGTCAACCAGGGGCGCGAACTCTTGGTTTCTGATGTCTAAATGGCTGTGCCTGGACTACAGACAGCTGCCTGACCTCTGGCCACGTGTTAATCATTTCAGTTCAGGCGTGCTTCCTGCGTAGCGTGCATATCAGCTCTCTCTCTAGGCTGGGTTCCCTCACTACTGATGCTAGTTCAGGGCCTGACCCAGAGATTCTTTTAAACAACTGCCTCCCATTTGGAAAGGGCATTTTAGGTATTGGTCGATGGATGCCTGGTTTTGCCTCAGGCCTTGTTTCTCAAACTCATGAGAAGAGAGAGCAAATAAATATTTCCTTTCCTCAAATGTATTGTTCTTTTTAAAGTGCATTTTCACCAGTACCTGTGTCATAGCTCTCTCCCTTGGGTCAGATTCCTTTTGCACAGGCTCAGCGAGGCCGCAGCCATTGGGTTCAAGGTTGGGCCCATGTCCCGCTGTTCCCTTGTTTCCCCCTCAAGGAGGAGTGTTTCTGGTGGCTGGTTCTGTTTACAACCGGTGTGCGCATCTGCCGGTGCAGCCGCAGCGCAGCAGAGCCGTCTCTAGAGCAGGTCTGAGGTAACCGGATAGGTTTTCAATGACTGTGTGCGAGTAGCAGGAGAGTAAAATTCCATAGGCCTTAATGAGCCTCAGCGCGGCTGAGCTGTCACAGGAAGCATCCATAGAAACCAGTTGTTGTTGTTGTTGTTGTTACTTAATAGGAGGGGAGCCAGGGGAATCCACATTGGTTTGCTCCAGTGAATGTTTACAGGTTTAAAAACATGTTCAAAGCCGTGAGCATCTTCGACCCAGATTGTTTCTGCCGCTGATCTCATGGCCTTGTTCACCCAGTCTGTAGCAGCTTCTCTTCCACGGAGAGCACCTTTGTGTCTTGGGCCCCAGAGTCAACAGAAGATGATGTTTCCAGCCTTGGCCCCTCTGCATGCCTCTTCCAAGAGGGCTTTGGGCTCACCCAGCCCCTGGTCTCCTCATAGGGAGTTGTGTTTACTCTGTCAGTGTCACCTTAACAACACGATGGTCTGGCAATTCCCAGCTCCGTTGCTGTCTTTGGATTAACTTTTCTCCCTTTTCTGGTAACCTCGTGATAGTCAGCTTCCGAAATGCAAATCACACTCCACCCAGGTTATCAGGGGGCTGTGGATGACTTTGAAACACAGGCTTCCCCCGCTGTCCGAAAGTAGAGTCTGCTAGGAGTCATCCCGTCGCCAGCTGAGGTCACACGCCTTAAAGGGAAGAAGCGATGTACCATTCAGTGGTTTATGTGGGGTTTTCCGAGTGTCTCTCAGACTCCCTAAAATGCAATCACACTAACTGAGTGTCATGTCTAGAATGCAAGGCTCTGGCGGCTTGATGTCGAGTGCACCCTGGAAGGGGCTTGGCGCTGCCGCCATGCTCACCTCCTGGGTTGGGGTGGGGGGATGCTGCCTCTTGAAGGCTCGCTTTGTACCTTGCTCTTCTGGTCAAAGCAAAAACCCTCTTTGGATTTCTTTCAGCTAGCTGAAGTAGGAACTACTTCTCTAGGTCTCCCAGAAAAGCAAAGTGGCGTAAAGAACACCTTTGAACCAGTGGGGGAGGGCTACCTGTACGCCGTTCACGCCTCCCCTGATGATTAGATGAGCTGCCCTGTGGTTTCCCTTCTGGCTGGACGTCTCCTAAGCACCTGTGTCCCCTGGGCCTAGGTGCTGCAGCAGAGTAGAATTAGAAAACCGAAACAAAGCACTGAAAGGTCACCAGCTGAAGGATTGCTCTGCCTTTACCAGCTCTCTCGTTCCTAGTACCAAAGCTGAGGACTGAAGGTTTTCCTCTGGGTTTCATACTTTTTCAGAAATAACTGGCCTGTTCAACTTAAAGCTCATGAATAGCTAAGGAAGAGTTGCGTTTCTGCATTTTTAAAAAACAGAGTCTTAAGTTTCACTGGCCCCATGGATTTGCAAGTGGAAAAACTAAAATTTTCAACTGTAAACAGCCCCGCACACACGTACACACTCATTAACACGACCATGATTTTAAATTTGAAAATGTTTGAAAACTATAGCGTTAACAAGAGATAATTTAGCACATTTAGCTAATTGTTCGTGTAACAAGAAAACAACCTGTGATTAGACATATTTTCTATAAGCGAATCCATAAAACTCACTGCCCTGGAGTCAATGGTGACTCATTGTGACCCCACAGGACAGAGTAAGCTGTCCCTTTATAGGTTTGTCAGAATGGAAATCTTCACGGGAATAGAAAGCCCCTGATTGTTTACCCTGTGGTGGCAGTGGGATTTGTCTCACAAAAGGCAGGACCTGAGTTGCAAAATACAAACTCATTTGGGGATGAAATGCACGTCTCTTTGGTTTTTAGCAAATGCTTACTTTTTAAGAGATTCAAACCAGTTAGGTTCTCACTGCTTTCTCCTGGGACAGAAAATCACAAAGCTAATAAACGAATAGCCGGGAGACAGAACAGATCTTTACTTACAAGAAAATTTGTTGCCCCATTTTCAGCTATTATAGTCTGTTTACAAAATATTGTTTACCTGTTAAATGTTTAAAGGACTTCAGGCTTGTAAAGAAATGATTACACTGCGCCAAAATTTAACCGTGTAGGAACTTTTAAAAGACATGGAAAGATATAATATTTACCTTGCACTTTGACAAATATTATCCATATAAGCTTTCATAATTCAGGCTATCGGATACAACAGCTCAAGTTGATGGTAAAGAATATGAACTCAGAGAGTGGTATTCGAGAGCCATTTTCACATACTCGCGCTCAGCATTCGTTTAGGATCCGCTAAACAATGTCTCTCTCCGCTGGATTTGGTGCACTGTACACAGACTAAAGGGAAAAGAATTCGATTCACAAAAGACCAGTAAGTCAGAGAGTATGGTAAGACTGAAGGATGAGGATTTTAAATGATGTTAGAGAAGTCGTTAGAAATGGAATGTATGTCATGACAACTGCATAGAAGGAAACTTGCCTTGTGTGGATAGGAAAGGGCCAGCAGTGTTCATGTGTGACTGAATGGCTACAATTGTGAATGATGGAAATTAACATCATGGTGGTTTAGGTAAAAGGCCAAGCAGCTTGAAAAACAAACAAAAACGTATATGTTATTAAATGCCAAATTGTTTCAAATCTGGTCTGCCCTTTAAAGGAGGAATGTATCAAGTAAACATACACTTAAGATGTTGGAAATTGAGGAAAGGTTCAACCAGTGTGATCCCTTCAACCTGGATGGGAGGAAGCAATCAGATCTGGTTAAGCACACTCACTTCGTCTCCCCACTGAGCTCAGAGCAAGAGCGAATGCCTTAAACTGGAACACAGGAAAGTCATGGTAGATAAAAGAAACCTTTTCTATTGATGAGAGGTAATTATGTACCAACAAAAGGAGCTTTTGGAACCTAGATCATTTTTAGGAATAGATTAACTAATTGGAAGAGTCCTGGGGACCAAAGTACTTGTCTCACTTTCTTCATTGGATAAACATCTGTATAAGAGGTATGATTTATAAAGCACTTCACATGCTCTGTCTTCTCATCTTCCACCAGCCCGGTGAGGAAGGTGGTACCTTTTATGTACCCCACAGTGCATGTGGAGAACTGAGATTAGAGCTCACGAAAGAAAGGAAAAATCAGGCCTCTCTATCTGGTGTACAGAAACACATGGCAATAGTTTTTGTTACATTGAAATGATGAACCTTACTGTATAGACCTCACAACCCACTGTAAACCCTGAGAGCCCTGGTTCCAGTAAAACTGAATCAGAGTTTTCACATTGCACTTGGTTCTGGAAAATGAGAAGAGTCAATGTTTGCTTCTCAGTGGATGGCTTGATGACAATGACTTGGAATGTAGAGGCGCGTTCAGAGACCTCTCTTTCTAACTCGGAAAGCTGGCTCTGTGCTCATGGCAATCCCTGCTGACCGCGTCTCTTCTTTACTTTTTCAGAATGAAGATCTACCTGGCTTTATCACCATGACCTCACACATCAGAATATAACATTAAAAGAAGGTGTTCAACCTTCTCCCCACCCCCCACCCCTACTATGAAGCTGCTTAAAATTCACTGTTGGATCTGAGCAGTTACTAAGTTCCGAAACACGGACGGTATTAGACGCAAGAATCAACACAAGGAAAGAACACCTGCCTCACTTACTTGTTCCCTATATTTGGCATCATTGTTGTGCTGCTGTTTTTGTGGGGTTTTTGTTTCGCTTTGTTTTTAAGAAAGAAAGAAACAACGCTAGCTGAAGAAGTTATTCTCAAGAAAATTGGATATTTTCATTGGCCTCAAATTGTGGCCAGTGTCTTTTTTTTTTTTTAAACGTTTTATTTTGGCCAAGCCAAATTATTCTTCAGCATGCTAGGAGACGCTATGAAAACCCATTCAAGTGGTAAAATCTGGTATTTACTGGCATACACTCAAAACCTCCACAGTCCTACCTCAGTTCAAGATAAAGCCGGATTTGTGTGGTTGGGGTGCAGCAGGTCTTCCTGTCTATCTGTCTGCGAGTGTGTCTGAGGGTGGTCTTCGGTCTTACTGAACTGGTTCACGTAGACAGCTGCTTGTTGGACTTCAATCCAGGTAATCTGCAGTGTTTACTCACAGACAGAGCCCGGTGTGGGACTGACATTTCTAAACGGAAATGAAATTTGGGGTCAGACTTTGAAGATGGATTAATAAATAATACTTACATTAACTGACGCAACCTACTTTTGAAAATCATCAACTGTATTGGGTTGTGGGGGTGGGAGGGGGATGGGGCTTGGGCAGGGTGTGAGTATCTTTTTACCTTTAACAGACTCGTTTAATCTGCTCTCTGTCGATGTTTATGTAGGTACTTAAAATTGCAAAAGCCTTTATCCTACTTACAAGCTCAAATTTCTCTGCTACCCTTAATCTTGAGCTTGCATTTCTTTAACCAAAAATTCACGTAGGCATGCTAGCGATTGAAGGGTGGTCGTCGGTTTGGCAGATTTAAAAAAAAACTGTATTTATTATCCTTAATATAATTCTGTCATGCCAGCCAACAAGGCTGCCCTGAATAACAGAACAAAAGGGAGAAGAAGAAAAAAAAGAGAAAAAGACGACGACGCTGATAATTACACTTGTGAAAGAGGCACTGCAGGCGCCAGTGGCATTCCTGGGAAAAGAGAAGGAAAACAATCTTGCAGTACATGTCACTCGTCAGAAAATTCCCGACAAGGCTACCCTTGTTTGATGTTTTCAGTATTCGGAACATACCAGTGTTGTGGCGATTATCACAGATGTCACCAAGAATTGCTGAACGAGACCAGCAGAGCGCTCTGTCCGCCGGCTGCTCCCTGATACATCGGATTGGAGAGGTGTCGATAGTTCCCTCCCATGGTTGCATCCCCAGTGCCTGTCTTTCTGATAGTCAGATAGATGCTACACTAATTCATCAGAGATGTGAGAATCCTCTTTTCCTTGCGTTCGCTGTTTTGGTTTTGGTTTTTAACCTGGAAGAAGAAAAAAATCCATACTATGGAGAAATATATATATAAATATATAGATATCTATCACTATAGATTAATGCATTAATAAAATGAGGTTTTTAGAGGAAGACCAAAAAAATTTCAATGTCTTAAAAATATATTTAATGGCAATGCAAAAGTCTTCCCGCTTACATGCTGAACTTTTAGAACAGAGGATTGTATGACAAGACAAAGTTGAATGTAAAGTAATCCCCCTGGACATTTTTAAGGTTTTAATTTTCTGAAATTACACATCACAGCAGTGCATAGGCCATACAATGTTAGTTTGAAGGTCAATTTCTATGTAAAATACACTTTATTAAAATGTATAAAATGTCCTAAAGTGGTTTGTTTTGTTTTGTCTTGTTTGTTTTCTTTTTAATCAAATTTTGGGAATAAGAATGGATGGGTGGTATTTGCTCTGTAACTGCCCAGGTACCATAAGATGGATCTGGACCCTGTTGAGTACAGCCTATGGACTCACCTGTAAGTAGCCCTGTGCACTTAGAGTAGTCATGCCACAGTACGGATGGCTCATGTTCATACAGCAACTTAAGCAAAGCAAAATATACTAAATTTTCCTCTATCCTGTACATTTCAAAAAAGGCATATGCAATATTTACAGTTTTAATTTAGTTTACAGAATGGAACCAAAATGTATAAATGTTATGTTTGCTAAAACTTCACAATGTATATTGGGTCTTTGTACATTTTGCCTGACTTACCTTAAATTTAAAATATTTTTTGCTATATAAACTTTAACAGTTATTAAACAGTGTTTTCTTTTGGGGTACGTATTGTTTCTGAATATCAAGATGTTAAATATATTTCTTGCTATTGTGATATGACAAGAGACTTAACTTATCTTGCTCTGTCTTCCAATGTACACGCTGTATATAGGGTAAATGTGACGCTGCTGGAGACAAGGATAAATGGAACTAGAATAGTGCATTGTATTTAGTCTGTATTGATCATGGATGCTCTCCTTAATAGCCATATGCAATAAAATAAAATACATTATTTATGAAATGAATAAAGCTTTGAGGATATTTTTCTGTGTGGATTCTGCATTTCATATAAAGCCACTTTAGACTCCTAATGCTACTTTTTGACATTTTTTTATTTTTCCAGAAACCAGAAATTATTTTTAAAAATCAGGGAACTTCAGAAAATTAAATAATATGGGAAAAGAAAGCATTATACAAAATATGCGCTGGTTGCTATTCTAAGTGCTTTAACAACACTAACTCCCAACCAGATCATAGCAGAGTGTGTGTGTGTGTGAGTGTGTGTTTCGGGGCCATCTCCGGGTGGCACCATTAGTGTCCGAGAAGACCTGTGCTCCGTAGGGTACTCGAGCTGGTTTCTGGAAAGATTACCAGAGCTTTCTTCTGAGGTGTCTCTGGGAACATTTCAGCTTCCAACCCTTCTGTTGATAGGGTTACCCATTTGCAAAATCCACTGGCTCCACAATAACCTTGTTAGATGCTGTGGTGTCCATTTCTACTCAACCTTCCTGATGCCATGACCCTTTGATACAGCTCCTCATGTTGTGGTGACACCCCTCCCAACAATAAAATTACCTTTGTTGCTACTTCATAACTAATTTTGCTACTGTTATGAACTGGGCAACCCCTGTGAAAGGGTCGTTCGACCCCCAAAGAGGGTTGACAACTGCTGACTTCGAGTGACCCTCTGTGACAGAATGAAGAAGCTCTGGGGTGTAATAGGCCAAGCTCTCACCTCAGCCACAAAGCCAGCAGTTGGAAACCACTCAGTCCTTCCCAGTTAGCATCTCAGGAACCCATCGGGGCAGTAGGACCCAGTACTGCAGGGTTACTCTGAGTTTAAAAAGACTCAGTGGCAGTGAGTTTGATCTTTGTGACACACTAGAAAAGGACATGAAGAAATGTTTATGGTAATTAACCATTAGATGCAAATCAAAACTGCAATAACGTGCCACCTTACCCCTTACAAGAAGGGTGCTAGTAAATTAAGGAATACTGGTTAGTCTGTGGAGAGGTTGGAACTCTCATCCACTGTGCGTGAAACTAGGAAATCATACAACCACTGGGAAGTGGCATGGTGCACCCTTACAAAGCTAGAAATGGAAATGCCATATGGCCCGCAAATTCCACTCAGGTACACTAAAGAAAAAGGGCCGTGATCTAAGTATGCAGGCCCAAGCTCAACACAGCATCATTTACAATGACCAACAATGGATGCGAGGGTAAACAGTGGAACATGCCTACAATAATTTCATGGCCATCCAGTCAATGCTGGCTCATATGATCCTTTGGGGGTTTCTGAAACTATAACACTTTATGGAAGTAGAAAGCCCCATCTTTCTCCAGTGGAGCTGCTGGTGATTTTGAACTGCAGACCATGAGGATTGCAGCCCAACACATAACCACTGTACCACCAGGGCTCCTAACCTACAATGATAAGCAGTGATAAAGACTAAGGCGGCATCCAAGAAACAGCTCACAATATGGATGGCAATAGAGGACATTATGCTAAATAAAGGAGCCCTGGTGCTGGAGGGGTTACGTATTGGGCTGCTAACCCCCAGTCACCAGTGACTGAGCGAGAAAGATGAGGCTTTTTATTCCCATAAAGAGTTACAGTCTCAGAAACCCACAGGGGCAGTTGTACCTTGTCCTATAGAGTCGCTGTGAGTTGGAATTGACTGGCTGTGAGAAATTGTTAAGATGCTGAATGAAGTAAATCAGTCACAAAAGAACAAAACTATGCAAGACCACTATTATAAGAAGCCAAGAACACATTTTTTACTGGAAATAAAAAATCATGGTAACCAAGAATTGGACAGGGAGGAAGGAAAAAAATCAACTAGATAGTACACAAATTTAATTATAATGAAAAAAAGGGAACTGGGGAGGGGGGTGGGGCGGAGACCAACACAATGAGACCAAGGCACAGGAAGACATTGAGAGGTAGGCGAGGATACAGGAAAAATTTGATAAATGCGGTAACAACGCAGACCTGCAATAGCAGTGATAACCAACAATCATTTTTTGAGTAAATACATAGGTGGATAGGTATACTCAATTGATGAGAGAGGTTGTATGGGAGTACACACAAACACGCGGGCACAGTGCTGGCCATTTCTATAGACACGTGAATTCATACGTAGCAGCGCATATAGGAGGCACAGTTATAGAAACTACTTAGACATTGGCCTGAACCACTGAACAGGAAGACTAAAAAGTATAGCCTAGGGGGACATCTAGCTTAATTGGCAAAACGATTTCTAAAATAATGCTCTGTCTCCTGATCTGGTGAATATTATCTGGGGTCTTGAAAGCCTGTGAGGGACCATCTACACACAAGAATTGGTCTCTTCCTGTAGCGAAGGAGAATAAAGAAAACCAAAGGCTCCAAGAAGCAATTAGTCTAATGGACGAATGGCACACGTGAACCACAACCTCTTCTAGCCTGAGATCAGAAGAACGAGACAGTGGTTGGTAATCAGTACCAAGAAAAGGGGAGTGGGGGTGGAGCAAATTTGCTGGTCAGAAAGAAAAGGAATTCTGACGCAAACCTAAGCTGAAGCTGAACTCGCTCTCTGAGGCTTTCTTCCAAATAATATGTGGTCAAAGGGAGCAAACAATGGGAAGATATGCTCCTCCCAATAATCAGCTCTATGAGATTGTGTTAGGCTGGGGTCCGGAGAGGAGTTAATCCAGTGCTGAGTGTATGTGTACGCTGCTACTCGGAGCCATCGAATCCGTTTTGACTCATCGTGACCCTAGGTAAAACAGAGCAAAGCACCATTCTTTCCTGCACCGTCATCACAATTATTTAAGTTCAAGCTCATGGTTGCAGCCGCTGTGCCAGCACATCTTATCCAGGCTCTTCCTCTGTTGACCAAGCATGATGCCCTTCTCCAGGGAATGATCTCTCCAGATAACATGTCGTCGAAAGTATGTGAGACAAAGTCTCGCCATCCTTACCCCTAAGGAGCATTTTGGCCATACTTCTGAGACCGATTTGTTATTTTGGCAGTCCGTGATACGTTTAATATTCTGCACCAGCACCATAGTTCAAACGCATCCATTCTTTATGTATATAGAAAGAAATGTTTATCAAGGAATGGCTTAGACAGTTGGAAAGTCCAGTCTGCTTCAAGTTTCTGAGTATAAGCTGGAGGCTTCCCCTGACTCCTGTAGCTGTAGGAACTGATGAAGCAGGAGGATCAGGCAGGAAGACCACAAGCTGGTGGATGACAAGCTGAATGAATCCTAGATTGCCTGAGATGAGAATCATCTTTAAAAGCTCTAATTAAAAAGATATACAGTGAACCCTCGCCACTTCGCGCTTCGACTTCCGCGGCTTCACTCTATCGCGGTTTTTGCGTAACAGCGCATGCTCTGTCATTACTGCCACTGATTGGCTCATACTGTACACGCTTGATGCCATAAATAATATAATAAATAATAAATGATAATTGTGCAAAATGTTTTACTGTATTTTCCCTTTTTCATTTAATAAATTGGGTAATACGAGTGTAATGGTGACTAAAGGGTGTTTTTTCATGTCCTCTATGCTCTAACTATGAAAATATTTGATTTACAAATAAGGAATCCTACTTCGCGGAATTTCATTTATCACGGTAGGGTCTAGAACCGATTAACCGCGATAAACGAGGGTTCACTGTATATCCCTATAGCATGAGAAACCTACTGGATTATTTTCCAGTCTTTCTGGGTGTTTGCCAACTCTCAATAGTGAATGTATAAAATGCAAAATGTGTTCCTCTCTTTGGAGCTTTCTGTCTATGACATTGCTAATTATTGGATGGGATTGTCATAAAACATCATATTGATTGATAGATTTCCCCCAGAAAAGCTACCTAAAGTGCAATAAGGTAGCTGAATTCATTAGAATGCATTTCACTGCAAGTAATAGAAAACCAAATTCAATGAATTAAACCAGTGGTTCTCAAACTTGCAGGTGCATCAAATCCTCTGCGGTGCTTGTTACAATAGATTACTGGCCCCTACCCATCATAAGCTCTTTTCTTCAGTTGGTCTAGGGTCAGGCCTGAGAATTTGTATTTCTCACAAGGTCTCCAGTGAGGGTCTCAAGCTGTTGCTCTGAGGCTCTGAAAGCCACTAACAGTCAAGGAATTTATTACCTGGTATAAAGAGAAGTTCAGGAGTGGGTTAATTTAGCTGTTAAATGACATCAGCCAAGGCCCTGGATTTTATCTTCCTGCTAAGCTTTCCCCAGGAGCCCATATCTCTCAGACTTGTCCCCTCATGTTATTAGATGGCTGCAGCTATGCCAAGCAGCATATTCTCCCACAATCGTCACCAATGAAGTCAGTCCCTCTTTCTTTGGGACTTTTTTTTTGTTTTTGAGTGATGCAAAGGATCCCAGAACCACCACCCTATTGCCTCGCGCGACTGAGTCACATGCTCGCTCGTACAGTAAGCACTTAGAAATATGATGGATGATTAACACTCTGAGGGATGTAGTGTTCCATGAAGCACCTGGCTGTCAGATAGCTGAACAAAAGCTAAGTGCTAGTAACAAGGACTAAGAAGGGATGGTGTCTAATCAGTTGGCAGTCAACAGCGACTGCTAACAGCAGCATAGAATGAAAATGCGACCAATACCCATCTGGATACAATTTTACCATAAATGCACTATCTCCTTACATGGGTGGACATTGACCACACTGACAGTGCTTTTTAAACATAGGATTCATAACAGGCAACAGATCGGCTCGATTCATTTGAATTACGGTGTTGGCAAAGAATATCCAGAGCACCATGGGTGGCCAGCAGAACAACAAGTCTGTCAAGGAAAAGTACAGAGGAGACTGGTGAGAGCTCATCTCATGTATCTTGGGTATGCCGTCATGTTTGGTTCCGTTTTCCGACAAGTCTCTGGAAGAGAACACCACACTTGCTAAGGTGGACCTCTGTGAAAATCAGGGGGACCTCGAGGAAGATGGATGGATACAGGGGCTGCAACAGTGGGCGCAAACACAGCAGTGGTCAAGAGGGTGGGGGAGGGCTGG